CTATGATCCGAACCTGTGCAAGAAGCGAGATGTGCGTGATGCCAGATATATGGGATCGATGGCGAGACGTTACCAGCCATCCGTTCACTATGTGGTATAAACTGTCGCGTCAGAGTAAATGGCATTAAGTCGAAACCTTTCAGCGTTGGCACTGGTCTTTGCCAACGCTGCATTCTAACCTTCTTTTGCTTATGCTGAACATGCATAGGATAGTCGGGCGCGACTACAACGATGAGTGTATCAGCGGACGAGATGTGAGGACCAAGGGTTGCTGTGTGCAGACGATATTGTTTTGCTGCCATTTTCTCAGACGGATCTTTAGCGCTCTCAAGAAATGTTCATAGTCCAACGCAACGTGGCTAGCACGAACGTGAACGTGTCTAAAACGAACAGTCTAGTGATTTCTTTTTCTCCTTCCCTCTGAGTTTGGCAGATAAACGTAGAATCAGTGGAACAGGTGGAGGAGTTAACGTACTTTTGAGCACTATTTCCTGATTATAAAAATTTTCAGAAAGAGATCAACTGACGACGAACTGGAATGTTTAGCGGCGTTCTGCATGAAATAGCCTGAACAGTAGTCATTAAGCAATAGACGAAAACTAAGTGCTCTGTGTTCAAATCGATCTTCATCCCGATGTTATTCTGTGGTAATGGGTCACCGGCCATGAGTGAAGAACTTCGAAATCGCGTACAGGCAGCTTAAATGAGAATTCTGAGACGAACCTCTGGGCTCACTCGCCTCGACTGGCTCGAAGACCGAATCTCTGGTGTACAGCGCCTTCTTATTCACAAAGGTTTGAGCATGTTTTGCCAACGGTTTAGGAAAGAAATATAAAATGTTCAATCTTCTCCAACTTACCGCTGAAGACTCCGCGGACGGCCAAGAATGAAATAGATAAAGTTTATTGAAGAAATCTGTTCCAAAATAGAGTTATCTTCAGTCGACCGACCGACTAACTTGACCTACTGACCTACGGATCTTTAGGCACGCTGACATACTTAGCTACTGACTTACTGACGACTTATCTACCGATCTACTGACCTACTAACCGACTGATGGGCCGACTGTCAGACAAGGCAACCAGACTGACTAAATGACTGACTTCAGCAACTGTGAAGATGGGGTCTATTCGGAAGGCGTCATGACAATCAGCTAAGGAATGAAATGATGGCAGTATTCAGTATGATGGATTTATTCAGTGTAAGTATCACATGAAATCGCGACTTTATAACCTAATCTGAGGAGCTATGAATGTTGACTGAATACCGGGACTACTGAAATTACTCTCTGGTACTATCCCTCCAAAATCTTAGATGAACCAGTAGAATGAAAGAATGACATAATCGTTTGATTTATTCTGCAACAAATCTTTTAATTATATTGAAATAAAATTAATTATCGCCAATCAGCGGCAACCACTAGTACTGCGATTTAAAGATGACCTTCATATTGTCAACATTAAAATGTCGCTCACTGCAGGAAAGCCGCTCTTTGAAAATATTGCACTGCCCTCTCGGAGCATCGCATGTCCATGTAATATAAACCCAGCCATTCGATAACTTTTAAACAGGTCGGATAAATGTGGTAACTCTAAACGAATGCCGTAATCAGTAAGATTAACGAAGCATTTTATTTCATTACCTCATGGTAATACTGCAGAGCCTGAGGGTTACCACTTTCTCGTTCGTAAAGTTCAGCAATTTTCGCCAAAATAAACGGGTCATTCGGAACAATACAGCTTGCCTGCATGTACCTGAAATTAAGCAATGAAAACATACATTTATAATGTTTTACATTATGAAGAAAACCAAATGGAATGTAATAGAAACAATCAAAGCTGCTGTAAACTATGAGCTCTTTAAGGCATTGCGTTCTTCAGTAATTTGTTGAAAGATCATTAAGATTTGAATGCATCTTGCTCATGATCATCTGTTTGCTCTTATCAGATTTATCAGAAATACATTAGTTTACGACCGAAGTTTCTCTGTAAAATTTTATCAAACGGCTTCCAAGATTAGCTACCTTTGTGTTGGAATACAGTGCAGGAAAGAGTGCACTTTGTGGGTTTATGAGTCCTTCATTGGACCAGTTAGGATATGTGATCGAAAGAATTATTTTTTGACAGACTAAATCCACCAAAACTTTTTAAGCAGATAATTCGGATTCATGAATGTCTTTGAGTCCTGAAAGCCATGCTTTACGGCCATGGCTTTTAGGGAGGTTATGATCGTAACTCGGTTCACCACTGAGACGAAATCAGCAACATTGCTGATTGCACAGTTCCTGACTCGTTCTTAACTCACATTTACGTTTGGAACCTGAGTGGAACTTCAATCTTTTCCACCTGAATGTATACTATGTGCGAAATACTGAACAATTCTTAGACTCTCGGAGAATTGTGAAAATGAAATTGAGTGTCAGGATAATGAACACGTGACGCTCTTTTGGGCAAGACCGTCATTTTATACATTCCTAGAAAATGCCCCAATGTAAAGACACAGATGGGTGGGCGAAAATTTGCCCTATCTGTGCAACTGTATGCTAAGTGCCCATGATGGACAAGTATCGTTGTGACCTGCGCAATCAACTGCTTATTGAAAAATCTAAGAAATAGATTGCCTAATGCCTTCAATTTATTTACTATGCTAGCATGATTTCCGGTGACTCTGGTGGATTTTCACTCCCTTGGTCTCAGGTTCGGAATTCTGTTAAACAATGTTGCTTCGGTTGCTAATTTACAACCAATTATGTGCAATTAGCAGTACAAATGGCATGGGACACTCTTGGAAAACTGAAATGTTCCCGTCCAGAAAATGCATTTCTGCTTAAAGAGGAAAGTATTCTACCAACTTGTTTTCCCAGTGCTAAACAGTGGGTGAGAACTGTTATCCTAATGTTAGAAAATTATACATAAACTGCAGGCTGATCAGCGAAATATGGAACGATGGTGAGAATTATGAGAAAAAATAGGAAAATGAATGGATAAGAGCGCAAACAATAGCATGTGATGTCATTGTCCGAGTGAGGAAATTAGGGTGGCACTGAACAGGGCACACTGCAAGAAGAACCGACCATCGCTGAATCAGAAGGATATTAGACTCAATTCAAAGAAAGAGCATAACGGCCAAACCGATTGCAAGGTGAAGTGAAGAAATGCGATGAAAATAGCAAGAAACAAATGTCTATGGTAAAGTCTTGGAAAGGCGTTCATCCAGCAATGAATCAACAATGGCTGATTCGTCAAGAATTCTTTCTACAAGTCCAGTCAAATAAGCTGATAAATGAAATCGGCAATAATGTTCAAAAGAAAACTGATGATCAATGTTGTTATTTCTTATTACTTAAAAACAGCTTTTCTGCAGCAACAACGCCATACAACAGTAAATACTCCTTCGCTTTAACATTTAAACTTTGTGTGGCCAATTACGTGGTCCTGTTTGAAAACGGTTGTTCAAATAGTAGTGTTGCATTTGTACTCCACATTTGCTAAATCCTATGCTTGCCAATTAGCTGCAAACATTACCTCTGAAAGAATGCACATCTGGCTGATAACCAGAAACTGATATCAGCGCAACACTGTATATTCCAGAACAAAGTAGCACCTCAAATAGTTTAGTAATAGAAGTGTGAGGGAAACCGACTTGCGAATAGCTGCAAGCATTCCGCAATGGAAAATCAATAAAACTCCGTCGTTTACTTTCTCTAAAGAACCTTCAAATACTCTTTTCAGCGTTCTTGATTTGTCTATGTACAAAATCATCGCATTTTTATCGACCACACCGTTCATGCTTTAGTGTTCTGGTTGAATGATGAAACACTGGAAGGTGACTCTTCGGTCGAGAAAGTGTTCTGTAACTCCAATTCAGTACCATTTGTTAAAACTGCCGTCATCTTATTCCTATTTCTAGGGTCAGCTTCTATATAAATTTTGGTACATTCTTCGATCACATTTTGCTGTTTCATGTCATTCTGCAGAACAGCACACCGCATTTTCTTTGCTCTTCTTTCCTTCCTAGTAGTTTCAGTGTTTCCATTAAATTTCTTACGTACTTGTCAGTTGTACTCTTCAACTGGTCGAAACATCAGAAATTACTCTCTATCAGTGTTTTTTAATTTGAGACACGCTTAATGTACATTAGAAAGGCATTTTGGATGTAATCTTTCTTTCAACGCTATACACTCCTCCGAGCGTTCGCATTTCTAGGAGTTCTGCTGTTGCATGCCTCTCATCACCGTGGCAAAACGTTCCTTTTGGTATGGAAATGGAGATCCTACTATGATTCTGAACATTTATCCCTTAAGTTTTATGAACAGTTTCTAATCGTACAGCACGTTCATCATCTCTGCGAATTTGATTGATTTATTTTCCATGTATATAACTTATTTATCAGCAAATTTCACCACTGTCTAATATATCTGCACCATAGAAAATGAATGTTGCTCTCTTAGAAAGCAGCTGTTGACGTTGCCTCCTTTTCCTTCCAAGGAAGCTCTCAACGGATTTCGTCTTGATTCCGCTGAGAAGAATCCTCTTTTTAAAAGCTGTTCACAAAAATCTGGTTTCTGTTTCTATCATTTCTCTTTTTTCGCCAACGTAGAACATGAATGAAGAGATTGGATTCCTCTAGGTCAGTAGTAATTGCATCTGGGGCCATGGGGCAACGCAAATCGTTTTCTGTTTGTCACAAATGAATCCCTCTCTGCAAGATGCCTCTTTTTTCCCGTGGGCCTGAAATTATTCACTCATGCACCCAATTATACATGTCCTTGTAATCCTAAATTATTTTTTTTGCATTAATTTTCTAATACTTATGTCGAACGGCTACCGAATGCGCTATATTGATCGTTAAGTTAATTGACTGTATGCAATTAAAGTTCTTTTAAGTTGTAATATGAACATCCGTGTCTGTGTCTAGTACTGTTTTTTGCATCCTTCTTGGTTGCGTTTATATGTCTAAAGGTACTTGAAACGTTAAGGTTGCATTGGAAACAAGTCGACTGCTATGGACAATCCTGAATGTATTATGCCTCACGAAATGAGCATGACGTAGTTAAACTTGCGCTTTTACCATTCAATTGCTTGTTCCAGGTCTTCGATAAGTTCATTACTAAAATCCATAATTTTTCACTGTGTTCATTGTCATTGAAAAGAGCAAGACCGTACATCCGAGCGATATTGCAAAGAATCTGTGCATCGTGCGGAAACGCCCCTCGAAGCTTATTAAAGCAATCCAGCGCTGCCTCGTATTGATTCATATTTTCATACGCAAGACCTAAACTAAACATCTAAGTAAATGCTTAGCAATAATTGCCTTGTAATGAATCACCCATGTTATACAAAGCCCTGAACGATGTGCTTTCACTGCTCCACGCTGCTCTGTAGTATTCCTGGGCCTCGGAATACCTCCCCAGAGCAAACGCGACGTTTCCACGGTTAATTAATGCTTCTGGGTTGTACTTGTCAGAGGCGAGAGTCTTATCAGCATAAAACTTCGCCTCATCGAAATTATCTTGCTAAAATAGACTGAAGTGACTAATCAACACTCTTGAAATCATGCAATACATCAAAATAATAGAATAGCAGAACAGAGTAACACATGAACTGTAAAGAAGTTGTTCAGTATGAAAGCATATGGTAAACAAGTTAAATGCGTAATTAGCTTGATGGAGTTTAAGATTCACGGTCGGGAAACAACAAATTTTTGCTCTTAATGCATGTGGTGGGATTTTCGTCAAAGATGGACAATAAATTCTATAGAAAACTGTGCAACGTTGAAAACAGCGACATCACAATTTTACGATAAGGAATTTGAAAATACAAATGAAGCTGACACAATTCTAGATATCTTGTCAGAGAAAGTACAATTTGCCATAAACAGGCGAAGCAAGGAAAGATTTCTAACGAAGGTTGCATTACAGTGCAACTCACCCAATTAAGAGATTTGACACTGACTACGATATTGGCGCTGTTGTTTTCATGTTCTCTGAGGGAAATGATAATTCCAGACGATTGGACTACCACGTCTGTAATTCAACTCCAAAAAAACCGGTAACAAAAAGGATAACATTTTGTTGCGAATAATCTGCAAGATCTTCACAAAGGTACTGAGGCTGAGGAACGGACACCAAGAGGAATTGGACGCTGCGCAGCCAAAAGAGCAATCAGGATTCAGAAGTGAATGTGGCAATGTAGTGGATCGATCATCTTCAGATGATACAACAAACAAATCAGGCAAACAACGAACATCAGCTTTCGCTGCCTTGGGTTCAGTCTTTCTGACAGCGTCTACACATGGTTTGTAATAGATTCTTCGAAGAGCCATGGAACTGAAATAGATGCAGAGACTTCATCGCTATGATTTGCAAAAACGCTACTGCCAGAATGTAGCTTCAAGAAAACACAAGCAAGTTAAAAATCGAAGAGGGCGTTCGAGTGGGAGTCGAAATATCACAGAAGTTACTCACAGCAGCGCTGAACGAGATTTTCAAGGCATTGTGTTGAAAAACCAGAGGCTAAATATAAATGCTCTTTGCGGACGATATTTCGATCCTCTTAAGGTCACCAAGAAAACTTAAACAAAGGATAAAAGACAACGATTCAGGAACCACGATCCCAACATAAAAATAGGACTACAAAAGAATTTGAAGAAGACTCAGGTCATGTCTGACAGATACGCGACCCCGTGATATTCTTATGCTAATCGACTTAATCATGGAGAGATAAAAAGCCACATTTGCCTTGGACAGCTACTATCTGATTGAGAACCGACTTTGCATTGTGACCAAAGGAATACAAATGCCATGGACTACTTTAAGAAGACCGTAAACGTTCCTATCCGAGAAACTGCAAATTGCCCTTGTACCTGAAATAAAAAAATTTTCGATCAGCTGCTTCCAATACTAATCCATGGATGCGGAACGTGAACCCTAACGTTCAAAGCTATTCATTACCTGCAGACTAGAAACGCGGAATGGAAGGATGACGGAAATAACTGAAAAAGATGGGAGGACAACTGAATGGATAATTGTACTAATGAAAGTTTGCTATGTGACTGTGCAAGTGAAGAAGTGCAAATGAGCAAGGTGCGTTGTAAGAAGGTCTAACCATCGCTGTACCAAAGAGATACTAGACTAGATTTCATGTGAAAGTAAACCACCGGCAAAAGACATCCATGGTTATGGTAGAATGGGCGAAAGAAGTTTGCTGGATAAATATGGACACAAATCGCAGGGGATTTCATTCAGCAATGAATCGAAAAATGTTAATGATCATGATGTTGAAAAGTAATGAAGGAGACTGTTCCAGCAACCATTCTTGACCCTTGTTCCAAATAGCACTTAAAAGTCAAAGGTAACCGTCGTAAAAGCAACCACTCTGGTTTATTCATCGAATTATGCCAAGACTTATGTTCTAGCCAACAACTATATGAGATTTTGAGTATTTTGGATGTAGCGAATGCTGCTGTAGATGTAATGGAAGACCTCTAATGATAATGGACAAAATGAATACTGAACTCTGCGTACGAAAGGTGCAAAAGAAAGGTGAGTATTTTGGCTAGGAAGAATAGCACCAGCAGAAAGAACTGCCTATATTTTATTGCAAAACACAAGAAATAACATTATTCATAACATTTTTAATTCAGAGCGTGACAAAAATTTTCCTTAACTTGTTCTGAGAGGGACCAAACAAAGCAAACAAACTAAGCAAACAGCTCTCTATAAACACGAATGCATGAACGAACGAGTGAACATCTGAAAGAATGAATGGGCGAACGAACAAGTGAACGAATAAATAAATTTACAGATGAGCAAAATTTTTAATCAAGTAATTAATTATTTGCAAAATTAATAACCAGATAAATAATAAGCGAAAGAATGAACAAATGGACGAACGAATGAATGCACATGTGAACAAATGAATAAGTGCAATGTGGAAGAAGGAACAAGCAGTAGAATTCAATGAAAAACATTATGATTGTGCACACCAAAACCGTTTCAATGATTATTCAGTTTTAACTAAGGAAGCCAAGATCTTCAACCTGATCGTGAACATGAGCCTTGTTTGGTGTCTTATTGAAAAATAAGTTTCTAAATGAAGATGTAGAAGGATAAGGATAAAATCCTGAAAAAAAATTTAATTAGTGAATCATTCAGAATCCACAAAATTT